TATTGCTTTAACAGTGGCACATAAAACATTTTTTTGTCTTGAAGTAGCTTCGTCTTGGCTACGGTCTTGGCGATAGATATCCGGTACCGTCGCCTGGCCAACAGGCGCACGTTACTTCTTGTTGTTACTTCACCTGGTTGAACGCGCCTTGCAAGCGAGCCAAAGTGGCACCTAACCAAAACAATTCGGCAGATCCCATGTACCTGAGAATCAACATTATGCGAAGCATGCAGAGGGCAGGTGACTGTGTTTGAGTTTTTTTATTAAGCGACACGTTATGAAATGATGCTAAATGTATGTACTAATGTTGTACACACAGACATATCTTGAAGAGTTGCAGATGTTCATATAACTAGTTGTTTGCACTTGCACAATTATGCCAACTGGAACATGTGTATTAGCAGCACCAGAAGCTGATATGAAGCGCTGATGCTCGTGAAGATGCTGGCCCTGGACACTGCTATTTAAATCTACCTGAGCGCATGGTGACTAACCATAATTGCTGTAACTCGACGTGACTGCTGTATCAAAGAAGTACATATGTAATATTTATAAAATTGAGTTGGCAGCACTGCAACCACTGTTGACGTTTCACAAAGATTGGCGTCTGTTTGAAAAGGAGTTTTGAGACGTGGCGTAGCTCTGTGGTAAAATGCTTCATTACCACGCAGAATGCTTGAGTTCGATTCCAGCAGGAACCCTGACATTTATTCTTTGCATTTGTCTGGTCGATGCTACCGATGTTGGCTATTTCTTAATGCTTGTGTGTTAAAATTGCCCATATGTATTCTCGTCATTCCTGGGTAGATAAAAAGCGTCAATCACCTGTGGCATATACCCGCATACCAGCGGCACATACCCACACGTGGGTATGTACGACTGTCTGGTGGGAAGTGTTTGATGACGAGCGTGACGGAATTGGGACATTATTCATGTCTTGACCAGTGTGTCATATTCGTCAAACCATCTTATCCTCCCATGCTAATTTTGATACACGTCAAATTGAGGGGGTGACCACGATAGCACCCAAACATAAGCGGCTAGATAGACATAGAGATAGATATGCTCAAACTCGCCGAAGTTCGCCAAGAAATGCGTCGCATTTAAAAAGTGTGGGAAGGGTGGGGGAAGTGTAGTGATTAGAAGACTTCTTTCTAACCAGTGTAGAGAATCCTGCATAAGCCTCCTTTGCCGCAGTACACTGATGCCCTGCGGAAAAGGGCATCGAGATTTGGAAGGGGCTGTTTGTACTAGTCACGGCACACTGCACATTTTGTCCAGTTACTCATGCATTTGTATGCCCCGTGATTCGTACTACCAGTATAATCGCTGATGGCTAAAGTAACTATGGCAATCATTTGGAGCGGTGTGTAGCATTTCTGCTCTCCTAAAAAAAATAAATTGTACGCCAGTTTTTTTTTTTTTTTTGCCACCCTTGTTTCTTAATTTTACGAATTTCCCAAATTTCAAGGTCGCGAGCCTGGCAGATTTATATATATTTGCAGAGTCTGTCGAACGATTTGACAGATGCAGCAAATGCTAAGATGAACTTTATTATTGTTTGCGCAGTGGGGGTGGTAGAAAATACTACTTTCATTGAAATAGCAGTGCTCATGTTCACACTTCACAACTTTTTTATACTGATATAAATTTGGTATTTCAAGATAAAAATATTTTTTCCCCATAACCTGCTTCAAATTTAGATTTTAGTGCTTCGAAAGTAACATTTTGCTGCTCTAAGAATCACTCCAAATTATATTTCGGCTGTAGAGTATATAAAAGAAAATGACAACTTCGGAGCTGACTATGTGAGTCGACTGTAGCCCTTGCAAAGTTACGTGCGCGTATCGCTTTTATTTATTTGGAAACACTCTGTGAACTGCATCTGCAACGCTTCATGAATTGCGTCCGCAACAATCTGTGAATGCGTGTGGAAAAAAAAAACTGTTAACATGCAAATGCTTTACGCCATTTGCGCTGTAAATTTTGTCTATTCTCGTGCCTGGCATAGTTGTTGAAGTACAACAAATTCCTAAAATGGTGGATAAAATGTCACATGTAAATAGTGCGCCAATGTCAGTGTGGGACACCGCGCACGTTGTGATGAGAAAGAAGAGCATGGTGGAACGGTGGCACGCGGCGCGCTCACAGTGTTCAGGCCAGGCACAGTGCAGTTTCGAGCTTCAGGGCGAGTGAGACGTTCTGCCAAGTGAGACGTGTGTGTGTGCGGTGGACTATGGAGCCAGGCAAGGTCCAGGGTGGCCGAGGTTTCAAGGATTGAGGTGCCAGAGATGGAACCACTGGCTGAATCAAGGATCAGCGAGAGGTGCCGAGCTGTACCGGGCAACGTGCCAGGCTTCCACATGGGCCACTGGCCCATGAGCTTCCGCACCCAAGCTGTGTCTGGTGGTGCCCAAGTCGAGGTGAGGAACACCGGTGGCTGAGCTGGTTCACCGTAGCTGTGTCGAGATGGAACCTGCATTTGGAACTGCCACGCCTGAGTGGAGATCAAGACATCTGAGGCCGTGTTGGTCCAGGCATCTTCTACACGCTACCACCGCCACTTGAATGTCGTGAGATCGCAAAACTACCACCTATTCTTTCTACTCGTGTGCTGTGGTGGACGTCGGCGATGACTACTCCTTGTATCCTTTCATATTGTTCGTAAATGTTCCAAAACGACTCTCTGTCCGTTTCCCGCACAGCTGCACATCAGTAGTAGTGCCTGAACCATCCTAAACATCTCGCTCGGGCATTTTTGATGTTATGCTGAAAGTACAATACATTGTGGCAATAGGAATGCAGATGTACTTTGATTTGTTTTGATTTCATGGCTGCTGATGTATTCAAATCACAATCAGTTCTTTTTGGTTGTGCTTGTAAGCTGTCCCACACAGGCACATACCTTGTTCCATGAGGAGCCAGTGAAGAACTAGCATATTAACATTCACCAGCCCCACAGGTCTGTGTGACAAGAGTGGAAATTAAGTGTTGCTGGTAAGATGTATTGAGAGTCTAAAGAAGCTTTTTGTAAGTGCGCTTTGTAAGTTTGTAAGCTTGCGTTCTCTGTGCTTTTGTTACACTATGTGATGCTGTCACAAGGAACATGCATATCTGTACAATCTGCAACACAATTGTGAAGATTATATTGAGCTTTCTTACTGAAAACATTGAGTTTAGGCTTGACAAATTAGCCCCCTAAGATTTAGAAACTTCATTATTATTACTTCAAGCACCTGAGTGTTTTGAGTTGTCGATTCATTTGCTCTTGTGCTGCAAATTGCTAGCTTGCATACTGGTTGGCTCATAGGCAACCACCCTGAAAAGGTTTTTGGTTCGGTCGGTAGGAAGCCCTTCTTTGTGAGAAATCCCTGAGGATTTTCTTTACCTTTATGCTATGATTATCGGGTGATCAGTTTTTTCCTCCATGACTACAGGCTAGTAGATTTACCACAGGTAGTCGCTTTAGATGCTTGAATGATCACAGTAATGTCACTGTAAGTTAGATTGCTCAAAGCAAAGAAGAATTGACAGAAATTTGAGCTAGGTGAAAAAAAGGCATGGAGAGAAACATTTCTTTCTCCTTCATAGCACAAAGCCCTGTTGTCTGTGTGCGGTGGACTATGGAGCCAGGCAAGGTCCAGGGTGGCCGAGGTTTCAAGGATTGAGGTGCCAGAGATGGAACCACTGGCTGAATCAAGGATCAGCGAGAGGTGCCGAGCTGTACCGGGCAACGTGCCAGGCTTCCACATGGGCCACTGGCTCATGAGCTTCCGCACCCAAGCTGTGTCTGGTGGTGCCCAGGTTGAGGTGAGGAACCCGGTGGCTGAGCTGGCTCACCGTAGCTGTGTCGAGATGGAACCTGCATTTGGAACTGCCACGCCTGAGTGGAGATTAAGACGTCTGAGGCCGTGTTGGTCCAGGCATCTCCTAGACGCTACTACCGCTACTTGAATGTCGTGAGATCGCAAAACTACCTCCTATTCTTTCTACTCGTGTGCTGTGGTGGACGTCGGTGATGACCACTCCGTGTATCCTTTAATTTTGTTCGTAAATGTTTCAAAACGACTCTCTGTCTGTTTCCCGCACAGCTGCACATCAGTAGTAGTGCCTGAACCATCCTAAACATCTCACTCGGGCATTTTTGATGTTATGCTGAAAGTACAATACATTGTGGCAATAGGAATGCATATGTACTTTGATTTGTTTTGATTTTATGGCTGCTGATGTATTGAAATCACAATCAGTTCTTTTTGATTGTGCTTGTAAGCTGCCCCACACAGGCACATACCTTGTTCCATGAGGAGCCAGTGAAGAATCAGCGTATTAACATTCACCAGCCCCACAGGTCTGTGTGACAAGGGAGGAAATTAAATGTTGCTGGTAAGATGTATTGAGAGTCTAAGGAAGCTTTTTGTAAGTGTACTTTGTAAGTTTGTAAGCTTGCATTCTCTGTGCTTTTGTTACACTATGTTATGCTGTCACAAGGAACATGCATATCTGTACAATCTTCAGCACAATTGTGAAGATTATCTTGAGCTTTCTTACTGAAAACATTGAGTTTAGGCTTGACACATTAGCCCCCTAAGATTTGGAAACTTCATTATTATTACTTCAAGCACCTGAGTGTTTTGAGTTGTCGATTCATTTGCTCTTGTGCTGCAAATTGCTAGCTTGCATACTGGTTGGCTCATAGGCAACCACCCTGAAAAGGTTTTTGGTTCGGTCGGTAGGAAGCCCTTCTTTGTGAGAAATCCCTGAGGATTTTCTTTACCTTTATGCTATGATTATCGGGTGATCAGTTTTTCCTCCATGACTACAGGCTAGTAGATTTACCACAGGTAGTCGCTTTAGATGCTTGAATGATCACAGTAATGTCACTGTAAGTTAGATTGCTCAAAGCAAAGAAGAATTGACAGAAATTTGAGCTAGGTGAAAAAGGCATGGAGAGAAACATTTCTTTCTCCTTCATAGCACAAAGCCCTGTTGTCTGTGTGCAGGCTTGACAATGTGGAGGATGGCCGTCGCCCTCTGAAGCAGGAGAAGATAACTGATTCATTCAAGCAGAGAAAGCGCATTGACCGCTTTGAGGGCATGCCCGAGGAAGAGGTGGCCAAGCGCACCCTGCCGGACCATTTGGTGCCCAACCTGGACATTGTCATTGTAGGTCCTCCACTGGCTCCCACTCATGGTTACTGGGTGATGGGGAAAGTTTAATAGCGGTTACTGCATTACTACTAAGGACTGCGAGCTCCTAACTTACGAGCAGTTGCATAGCATTTTCGTTTGTGGTGATTGCGTACAAGTTTTGATAGAGTTGTCACTGGCTCGGTCAGTTTCTGAAAAAGTGGGCTAGTTGCCAGTCCACACTTAAAACCAGCTACTAATGCACCCCCCACCCTTTTTTTTAGGTCATAGCATTGCAGTCACAGTTGTTTTTTAAGGTGTTTATGAGCCTCAGCTGAACTATCACGGATAACTATGTATTGTTTATCACTAGCTCTTTTATGTTATCAGCCAGCCCCTTTTTGAGATGCCTTCAAGTGTAAGAATCATTTGAATATAGCATCTTATTTACACCCACACATATGTATGAATAACTAGAAGAATAAGAATGGGGTGGAGCATATTCAATGAGCATTATCAAATCATGAATGGTAGTCTATTATAGTCCCTCAAGAGGTAGGTATATATGACAGCTGCATCTTATTGGTACTCTATAAAGCAGAAATGTGGAGGCTTACAGAGAGGGTCAAACTTGAATTGAGGACAGTGTAGCGGGGGATGGAAAGCAAAATTACAAGTGCAATTGAGCCGGAATTCGATTTGGGCAAGTTGGTACACTGTTAGCCAGGAAAAACAGCGTAAAAAAATGAGAACACAGGAACACTAGTAAGATTTCAGTTATAATTTCAGCGTTTATATGTCTCCCTCATCTTTTTTTTTTTTTGCTCTGTTTTTCCCAGCGGCAGGAGTAACCTTACTAGATAGACAGGGAGCATAGTGGCTCAAGGAACAAACGGCGGTTAAGGATATTATAATTAAAATCAAAAAGAAAAATGAACATTGGCCGGGCCCGTAGGCAGGATAACCGCTGCTCATTAAGGGTAACTGAAAGAATTCCGAAGGAAGGGAAATGTGTGCGAGGGAGACAGAAATTAGGTGGGCAGAAGACATTTAGAAGTGTCGAGATATAAGTGGCAGCAGAAAGCACAGGACCGGGTTGATTGGTGGAATATGGGAGATTCCATTGCCCAGCAGTGGGTGTAGTCACTGATGGTATGTATGAATATTTGATATTTCTTAGGCGTATGCATAGTAGCTTGCATATTGGTGTTCATTTGTGTACAGTGTCACTGGCCTGGAGGATTCATACACTAAGAAGAGCTTTTTATGGGCAAAGTAGCGATTAATTCTCAGAGCAGCACATTAAGGGCAGCTGTGGCCAAACTTTTACTTACCTTTCTGCGAATCGAGGCTAGCCTGTTGTCCTTGCGCGGGCTTTGTCGCCTCTTTCTGCACTCTCATGTATTAACATGACTCTTCTTTCCTCCACAATCTGTCGCGTTGGGAGAGCTGGAGTAAGTATTAATCTCTCTCACCCGGTAGCGGATATTGACTGTGACGCCGTGCGCAAAGTCTCTCAAGACGTTTTCGCGTGCGCGTGTCGGTAGTCAGGAGAGAATTTCTCTGGGACGACATGGAGTAAGCACACATTTCTTTTCCGTTCCGTCGACTCCTATTGTTTGAGGCTCGTCGGACTTTGCCAACGGCGCCTTGCGCCCACGATGAAACGCTTACTTTTTGTCCCCCCCCCCCCCCCCCTCTATAGAACGCTAGGCCGAAGAGCGGTGCGATGTCCTAGTGCAGTGGTCAAACTATGCCGACCTATACCTTTCGGAAGCCAATGTGAGCGGAGTTTTTGCCCTCACTTGAGCGATGGGGCCGTTTGTTCCGGTGTCCCTTGTGAATCACTTTTGCCATCGGAGACATGCTCGCGGACACCCTGTGTGGTACTTCTCGCCCGGGGCGTGGATGAGCCCATTTGCTTTCCCGCCGCCCCTGTTGCAATGGGCTCTGTACTGCGTTTTGTTGTTGCCGCAGCCAATAAAGTGTTGTGACCTTGAGCAGTACCATGTTCTCGCCATGCTGCGCTCGGTGCCATGGCTGTCCGAACGCGCGTGTGCAGAGGCGACGGTTAAGGCGTGCCCTGCAGCTCGCTAAGACCGAACCCACGCTATTGGCCGTACTACTTTGGGATACGTGTATACTACACTGGCGCCCAACATGGGGCACTACACTTCAATGAAGAGAATCTCTCTAATTCCTACTATTTTTATGCCACAAATAGACAAGGTTAACTCAAGGTTGAGTTTGAACATCAAGCTTATTTTTCTCAAAAAAAGTTACTGCATGCCAAGGACGTGGCATAGTGTCTATTCTTCAGCATAACTTCAATCTCTTATAACCACCATATTTGCTCGCTTGTAACGCAAAGAGTGGCTTCATTGCATTTGTGGGAATTGAGGCTGGCCCGCTGCCTTTGCGCGGGCTTTCCCGCCTTTCTCATGTCCCGACATGTCTGCCCTCCTTTGCCGTCAGCCGCGCTGGGAAGGGCGGAGTGACGTTTAACTCCCTCACCCGGTAGCGGATGTTGACTGTGGCGTCGCGCGCGGGGACCCCCGAGAGGTTTTCGCGCGCTGCGTCGGGAGCGGGGAGTACAGTCCGGGACTTCAAACGGTGAGCCACGCATTCTTTTTCCGTCCGTCGAGTCCCGTCGCTCGGGGCTCGTCGGACTTCGCTGACGGCGCCTCGCGCCCGATGCGAACGCTCACCTTTTGTTGCCCCGCTGCGTACTCACGGCCGAAGGGCAGTACGGTGTCCTAGTGCGTGGCCTAGCTACGCCGACCCGTCTCCCTTCGAAGCCAACGCGAGCGCCTTTGCCCTCGCTCGAGCAACCGGGCCCCTTTGTCCCGGTGTCTCCGTGGATTACCTTTACCGCGGAGATGTGCTCGTGGCACCCCTGTGTAGTACTTTGTGCCCGTGGCGTGGATAAGCCTACTTGCTTTCCCGCCGCGCCTTTTTTGCAACGGGCTGTACTGCGTTTGGTGTTGCCACAATAAAGTGTTGCGACTTTGAGCAGTATCGTGTTTCCCGCCACGGCGACGGTTAACGCGTGCCCTGCGGCTCGCTAAGACCGGACCCACGCTGGTGGCCGTACTCCTTCGGGATACGTGTACACCACACTGGCGCCCAACGCGGTATCAAAAGCTCTAGCTTTTGATTGCTCTTAGCGAGTCAGTTCGCCTGCGCGATTCGGGCTCGTCGCAACATGGCTGCCTCGCGGGACTTTTGTCCGCTGTCCCTTTTAGCGGATGCCGCGTTGCACGCGGAGGCCATTGCCTCTATTGACGGGAACCCTTCTGCACCCGTCCGTGTCGGCACCCCCTATTGCGGTGACGACACGAGGCGCCTAGCCGCTCCCTTTGGAGATGGCGCGTCGCTTCGGAATGGGCCTCTTGCCCTACCCGAACGTTATGTCTGCTTCGTGGCATGCCGCGTTGCACCAAGAGGCCACCGCCTCTATCGACGGGCGCCCTTCGGCGCTCGCCTGTGTCGTCACCCCTTTTTGTGGTGAATACACTCCTACGTGGTAGCTGACGCGCTATCTCGTGCCCCCTGTTGTCTGCCGAGAACCTGGATTTCGGTGCGACGGCCGCTCGCGGTGCCTTAGCACATGCAAGCGTCGGGGGCGAAACAGCAGCTTCGCCGCCATTCGGCGAGGAGGGTGAATCCCCATGCGGACAAACCTTGGCTGCTATCCAGGTAAGCGGCGCACCGCGAAGCGGCCGAGCGGGGGAGCTTTCCGAAGGCCACGAGGCCGAGAGCGAACCCGTAACGCCGACTCACGCGGCGGTTGCTGCGGTCCTGAGTGGGCGCGATACCAGACTCCCCCATTTGGGAGAATGGGAATTGTTTTCGGCAGCGAAGAGCTACTGAAGGCTCAGCAGAGTGATCCGTTTCGATTCTCGGAGGGACGGAGCGCCGTATACGCTGCTTGCTTTGCGGCGGGCGCCGTTAAACCGTCTTGACGAGGCGCGGAGCGCCGTTACGCTGCTTGTTCTGCGGCGGGCGCGATTAGGGGGCTGAAACAGCGTGTGTCGCTGAGTCCCCGGCGGATTCATTTTGCTGGACCATGACGGGCTCCTGCTGAAATATATAGCCACTGACGACGAGTCCATAGACCCGTTTAAGGTGGTTATGCCCAAAAGTCTGAGAGCCGCACTGTTGCGATCCTCTCACGACGAACCCATGGCCGGTCACCTGAGTGGCTCGAAAGTTTTTGCAAACTGAGCAATGTTGTGACCTGGCCCGGCACGAAGCGTGGCTTTTATCGCTATTCCGTGCCTGCCACGTCTGACAAACGGTTGAGCCAAGGGTTGGAAAGCCGCCCGGTCTTATGAACCGATTGTCAGTGAGCGTCCGTGGCGCGTACTAGCTGAAAGATCCCCTTTGGGAAAACTCAGCCGTGCCCACATCGCAGACCTGAAGCCCTTTGTCATGGTCTGACGAGCTTGCGCCAGTGCCCTGCGGCACTTCGCGCAAGCAACGGGCACACCCGGAGCGGCGGACCGCATTCGGACCCCGCACCGGTATAAGCTGAGGAAGCGGTCACCTTTGTGATTTCGCGCCGGACGGCGGACTTCTCCGCAACCAAAGGCCCTCAGTTTACTGTCTAGCCTCAGTATAGGTTAGCTTCTTTACGGCCTTTTCTCGTAAAGAAGTTAACCCCGCCCTGTCTGCTGCCATTTTTTTTTAAGTGTTCATGTATATTTTATGTTTCTTTTGTCTAATATTAAGTGTTATTTGTATTTTATGTTTTTTGTCAGATGTTGAGTGTCGTTTTGCTGTTTTTACTTTTTTTCCGTGTTCGTTTCGTCTATCGCGAAGGGAGCTGTGTGTGACCTTGTGTGTCGGTGCTTGCCGGGGGAGAGAGACGAAGGACGCTTTGCGCCTACGCTCGCGCAGCCGTCGGCGGTGTGTGTGCGTGTGTAAGTGCGTGACGCTTCAGTGCGAGCCCGCGAAGAGTGCGTCATGGCTTCCCCCCATCGATGCGGACGCTGGAGGTGCTGGGGGGTCATTGACCCACTGACGTCAGACCATCTGGCTGTGCTCTGCTCTCGGCCGTCGTCGAAGAAGCCCCGCTGCCTTTACCACCATGGCTCCTGCGCGAGGCCAGCTGAAAGCAGCTATATGCTGCCGGCCAACGCCATTCGCAGCCAATTTTGGGTCGGCCTCCCTGAGCACTGGAGAGGCCCGGCTTCGCGCAACGTTCCAACTTCATCATCGAGCCAGAAATGCGGGGCCTCCGAAGCACAGCCGAGGCAGCGTTCGTCGGACTTGCTGCTTAAGCTGCTTAACAAGACCAGCAACGAGCCATCAGTGAGCCCCCCCCCTTCCGGTACCTCTGACCTCGCACTCGGGCATCGCACCCAGCGGACACTGTCACGCCCTTTTCCGCCCCTCTGAGCAGTGGACGCTATTCCCCCTTCAGCACCACGAACACTAGTGCCACGTTTCTGTGCTCCCTTCCGCAGTTATTTGTATAGTGTCATGTGTTTATTTTGTTATTTATGTTTTTGTTCCTCATTTGTGATCTTTCTTTTAAGCAGCAGTAGCAGGGCTGGACTGAGGTTAGCTGTAGCTCATAGCAGTGTCATTTTTAACTGCATGGGTGACGTCCGGCTGCCTTTTGCAGACCGGTAAAGGGCAAATTTAGGAGGGGGGGATGTGGGAATTGAGGCTGGCCCGCTGCCTTTGCGCGGGCTTTCCCGCCTTTCTCATGTCCCGACATGTCTGCCCTCCTTTGCCGTCAGCCGCGCTGGGAAGGGCGGAGTGACGTTTAACTCCCTCACCCGGTAGCGGATGTTGACTGTGGCGTCGCGCGCGGGGACCCCCGAGAGGTTTTCGCGCGCTGCGTCGGGAGCGGGGAGTACAGTCCGGGACTTCAAACGGTGAGCCACGCATTCTTTTCCGTCCGTCGAGTCCCGTCGCTCGGGGCTCGTCGGACTTCGCTGACGGCGCCTCGCGCCCGATGCGAACGCTCACCTTTTGTTGCCCCGCTGCGTACTCACGGCCGAAGGGCAGTACGGTGTCCTAGTGCGTGGCCTAGCTACGCCGACCCGTCTCCCTTCGAAGCCAACGCGAGCGCCTTTGCCCTCGCTCGAGCAACCGGGCCCCTTTGTCCCGGTGTCTCCGTGGATTACCTTTACCGCGGAGATGTGCTCGTGGCACCCCTGTGTAGTACTTTGTGCCCGTGGCGTGGATAAGCCTACTTGCTTTCCCGCCGCGCCTTTTTTGCAACGGGCTGTACTGCGTTTGGTGTTGCCACAATAAAGTGTTGCGACTTTGAGCAGTATCGTGTTTCCCGCCACGGCGACGGTTAACGCGTGCCCTGCGGCTCGCTAAGACCGGACCCACGCTGGTGGCCGTACTCCTTCGGGATACGTGTACACCACACATTTAATTGAAAAAAATTCATAAGATGGATTTGTGTGCTCAAGCCGATGTTTGGATTGACGAGTGGGCTTGTCTTCTTCAAGGCTAGAACTGATTTTATCAGCGCTAGCGTGTATATGCTTTGTACCCTCTCCTCCAATTCAAACAAAGGAAGGAAATGGGGAGCATCATGACGAACTGTGTTAGTGAAAAGAGAAGTGGTATTCCATCAGCAGAGAAGGACATGGAGTGTAGAGGTTTTCTTAAACCACAGTTGTCTGAAGAAGATGCATCATTTAACAATGGTATAGTTTGCAATTCCTAGAATGAGGACCTAACCTACATTGGTTTTCTTTGGGTACGTACCGTATCAAATAGATTAAAGAACATACAACCCCTGTTTATGGTTTTTTTTTTTTTTGTTCGCAAGCTTTCATCTTCCACTTCCTCCCGTTTTTACAGCAAAAGCTATTATGAAATCACAAGGGTTGCATGCGCCATAGTTGCCCCCACTGCCACTGGTGTCCATAACTACTATCCCTCAAATTAAAAAAAACTAAGTAAATAAGGAACCCCGCAGACACAATGGGAATGCAATATGGGTCCCGTGTGTGCCAGCCCAGTATTCTATCAGAGAGCCACGCCGGTGCTTGAAACTCTGTTGCAAACTCGCCTTAGGCAGGTTTGATGTTGGGAAAGGAATCGTGTTAATATGAGTAATAAAGCTTTTTAGAATAGCAAATGAACAATCAGGTGTCACACAATATTAATTGCATAACAAGTGAGTTGTTGAATGCTCCAAATCATCACAAAAATTCAGGCATAAATTTTCATCGTCAGCGTCAAAAAGTTGCGCAAAATTTCTTGCAAGTGTGTATCAGGTATCATACTTCTCTGAAGAATGGCATTAAAGGATTGCATTGTGAATGCCTCCTTTGCTACACAAAAATTATGAGGATTACTACTGTAGTGGGTACCCCACAAGTGTGCTTGTAGCACTTACCTGAAGAATGTTTGCAAAAGGTTTCGAAAGGCTACTATTCCAGCTTTCGCTGTGACTGTGCTGCATGTTCTGCACAGGCCTTGTGGTTTCTCGATTTTGTTACATTTAGGCAGAAAAAATTTGAATTTGGTATTCAAAAGTAGCCATAATTGGAAATGAAATAGCGTAGAAGCAGCACAAGGAACAAAAAAAAAAAAAAGGGATGCTGACAAGTGTTATCTGCATCCCTTCTTTTCTTGTTTTTTGTGAGGAACAAAAAAAAAGAAGGGATGCTGACAAGTGTTATCTGCATCCCTTCTTTTCTTGTTTTTTGTGCTGCTTCCACGTTATTTCATTTCTAATCATAGTGTACCAACTAGCTCAATCTTCACCATTCTTCTAAGTTCGATTGTAATGCAAGTGTTGGCTTTAGGTAGCAAGAATTTGAGGGAAAACTCGCGTTGCAACAGAGTAAATACGGTTACCCCCCACCTTAAAGGGCAAGCTTTTTGGGGAAGGGAGGGTAAGTGGTTTGATGAAATCAAAGGGATGCTCAAATGTGAGAAGGGCATTATTGCATCCTTGTCTTTCTCTGTATTTTGGAGACAAAGGGGAGGCATTGGAAATACTGTTTGAGGGACCAGTAAAACCTTATGGCCATGCACCGCTTATGGCCATGGTGCCTTTGTTGCTTCACAGTCTAAAACCAAGGGCAGCTTATCATAAGCGGTGCTTCTTAACAGCCTAGTTGTGATGAAGCTCAGGTAACTGGATTTAGTGCAGCTACTACCGACTGCAGATGATACCACAGGATAAGCTGCCCTTGGTTTTAGACTGTGAAGCAACTGACACGGTACTCAGCTTGTTGAATAGACTCGGCTGCTTTTCATAAGTATACTGGCAAATAAAGTGAATTTTTCTTAAAATGATCGCTTCTTCTTTACAACCCCGCCATGGTGGTCTAGTGGCTAAGGTACTCGGCAGCTGACCCGCATGTCGCGGGATTGAATCTTGGCTGCGGCGGCTGCATTTCCGATGGAGGTGGAAATGTTGTAGGCCCGTATGCTCACATTTGGGTGCATGTTAAGGAACCCAGGTGGTCGAAATTTTCGGAGCCCTCCACTACGGTGTCTCTCATAATCATATTGTGGTTTTGGGACATTAAATCCCACAAATCAATCAATCATCCTTCTTCTTTACAACTGCAGTCTCTGAGCATATCACTTCAAGAATTTTGACAATATTTGTCCAAAGTTAAGGCTGGTCTCTCATAGTTTCCTGCTATATCAGCTAGCGGGAACTCGGGCCCTGCAGTTGTTTAGCCAGCATGGGAATGATGGGTAGTATGTGGTGTTGCCTAATCTTTGTGCCTTCGTGCTAGCGGGTTTGAACACACTTGTGGCTTAATTTATTTTTATGTTTTGGTTTTGTTTCGGTCAAAATACTGGATTGTCGGGAACTTCGTTAACTGATTTGAATTGTTGAGCCTAAAAATGTTCAGGTGATGAAGTGTAAATGCTGAACTCGGTCTTTTACTGACAGTCCCTCGTACTTTATGCCTGAAGAGCCTATGCCATGTGTATATGCTTTAGCTCGTACAGTTTTGACAGCTACAATTAAGGTGGCCATGATTAGTTTGTGTGTTTGCAGATTGGCATCAACCCTGGCCTCTTTGCTGCTTTTAAAGGTCACCACTATGCTGGTCCTGGAAACCATTTCTGTGAGTGCTTGCTTGCAAAACATGTGACTCTAAATTATAGTTACCTATAAAGACACAGTGCCTCGACTTGAAGGAGAAAGACCTATGAGCTCAGACTAAACCATGTGCATTGTGTAAGAATTAATGGTAACGTGCCACCTTTAGATTGCAGGGCTGTGTACAGCACTCCCGGATTTAAATGGGACAGTTTAGCCCTAAAAAATGCACATGTGAGAGGGGATGCACATACTTTTGTTTTTACCATCTTCAGTTCGAGTCACATGGGCACCATTCTGACTTGAATGTGTAGATAAGACTCAATGTTATCTTAATTTTAGAGACCAGATTCATCAGGACATGATGTGGTTATCTTCAGCGATTGTTCATACCACTTATTTGAAAAGAAGTTTGATGTTGGGTTTTGAATACTTGCCTAACTTTGCTTCAAAAGAATATGGTGATTGCCTTAATTTCCAAAAAGTTCATGTCTGGAGGATCCCTGAGAAAGCAATAAATGTCAGATAAAGATATGTGACGAAGTACTGGGGCTGCGCCTTTTCAAATTTCTTGTTTTTTCAAATGCATTTGTTCGTTGAACTTGGTGTAAGTAGCATTGAGATAAAACACGACTGAAATTGTCTAATAAACCCAGTACATTCTTGAAAGGCTGCTGTTCTAGAAGGCTGTTTCATCATTCCTTTCAGTGTGGCACAGAATAAAAAGATCCTTTACGTCAATTGAAAAACCGAATTCATTAGATATGTTGACATGCAGGCAAGTTATCACCTCATGAGAGTTCTCAGTTGCTAAAGGACCTTCAACTTGCTGTGTCTTCAGGTGCTTTAGTAGTTCAATAGGCGTCTTGTTCACTTGCAATGACACAGAATTATGATTCGTTCTTGCGAGTTTTTGTCACAAATACAGACAAGTTAAGCTGTTCGCATTTGCTAATGGCATTGGCCAGTTTGGGCAATAGTTGCACCACTTCACTCATTTCTCTCTCACTTCCGCAGGCTCAGAGTCCTTTCCCATTGATTCAACTGCCTTTTCATTGAAAGGCCGCTTTCTCTCTCTGCTCACGCATAGGCGGGGAGAAGGTGTTTCAGTGTAGTAAAAAAATGCCATATTTTGCATGCACATCAGGTTGCTTATGAAACCCCTCTGATATGGTGCAAAGTACAGGTGGGACAAACTAAATGTTACATTGATTAGTGATTAGGTGAACACAGGCATTCACTGAGAAAAAAAAGTAGCCACATATCTGATTCCTGCCAAGCCTGCTCGAAGGAGCTGCGTGTTGCACATGAGCCAAGGTTAACTGAGGGCAATAATAAGCTGTCGAAGAGTCACATTAAGACAGAATGGGAGCTTGTGAAAGCTTATTGTGTGAAGAAGAGTGGAGGAAATGGCATTAGTGATAACTAGGTGGCACTAAACGACTAGAAATTTATTTTCTGGATAATTGCTTCTGGATAATGTTCCCCAATGTGTGTGGGCAATGAAGGATAGTAGTATATATGTACAGTACTCCCGAATTCAGACATTGCATACAATTTTTAGTATAACGACTGGTACGTGTCATTGCTCGAGGTAACCATGTGACGTTGCGACAAATCTTATCTATAAAGATGTCAGCTCTGAACGTCAAAATCATGCCGATATGGCGTGAACTGAAGGTCGTGGAAATGAAATTTTGTATAGTACTTGGTGCTAAGTTAATTGTTTGTATCCGTGAATACTGTATACGATCCACCTCTAGTAAAGCCTTGTCAGTCAGTGCTTGTCCATACTTTTTGTGTGACTGTTTCTTAGCTTGCACTCATGTTCCCTCCAAGTTTGCATTGTTCGTACATGCACAACTGATAGCTCAAAACTGTGCTAAAGAGTATGTGATTTATAAAAATATGCTAGTTTGAAAGTAGTTTTCTCAAAAAGGGCAGTTCTCCTCGATTTCAAAGATGGCATCGCATATCGAGCATCAGTGTGCAACACAGTTGAGTGCAGCAGACAGTGTGGCATGTAAAACATAGAAAAAACTGCTACTAGAACTATAATCTGCTATTCTTGTGTTTCAGCCTATGGGATTGTCTCTTAGGGGTACTCACACAAAAACATTGGCCTCGCGTTTTTCTGATGAGATGCGTTGCTGGGGGCGTATTAGTCATGACACGACACATCGTTTGTTACAGCGCGTGAGAGATAATTAATTATAGGCCCATCATTATCCAACCAATTTCAGTTTTGATTAGAGAGAGCTCCAAAAACTGGGTGCAACTGTTGCCACCTAACGAGTGCAGCTCATGACCACGTCAGCACACAAAACTGTGACACGATTCCGCTCGGTTCGCATCAAGAATTACTTTCAAATAGAAACCGGGACTGCAATGTCGCCAAACACAACACTTTCTAAACGTGCGCCATAACCATGCACTCGCAACCAGCTGTCGCGGAACATACGACGCGGGAACAAACGTGGCAAAATAAAATGGCAGTCATGACGTCGTCATAACTTGTTTTGTTGGCTGCAGCGTGGTGACGTTGGGAAAGTAGAGGGTCACCTAAGGGTCCCCTTCGAGGGTGTCAACGGCACGATGGAGTCGAGGGCTCACGCAAACTTCAAAATTCTTTTCAAATACGTTCCCAGCTATATTCACAGTTATTGTTTTGCAGATGATGTACAAATGTTCTTGAGAATCGACCCCATAGGCTATCTTGACCACGAAATTTTGTGTCAGTGCCCTTTAAGCATTTTTTTATTGATTCTACTACTACTACTATGTGACTATGTAAATGAAAAGGAAAAGAAAAGTGCCACCCGTAACTGTCAATTATATTACGATGACACCTTAACAGGTCGGCATGAGGAATGGGGTAGAGCGAATAAAAGAGAAAGGTAAGAAATAAAAAAAAAAGCAAGAGAAGGAGAAAAAAAATCGCATTAGATCCGCCCACGTACGCACATAAGATAACACGCACGAAACACGCAGCTGACCGAGAAGACTGCCGAGAAAGCCGGGGGCACAGTGATGCGCCCAGTTTAACATGCGCAGGAAGAAGAGCGGGGACGCCAAACTCACATTTGAAGTCCGGTTATCCCCGCTGCTTGGAACTCATTGGAGGCGTAATCCGCGGCAGCAGCAGCAAATTTCCGTTGCTCACAGTCCAATGGGAGGAGCGGGAGAGCAGAAAGTATTGATTGCACCAGCAAGTTAATTGTAGTGGCCAAGAAGGGGCGGGGAGGGGCTGGTGGCTTGAAGGCAACGGGCAGTGTCGTAACGGTGTTCTTGGGGGCGGCGGCAGGAACCGGCGGTTGCGCAAAGGCGTGCAGTGTCTACGTCGCCGTCGAACGCTTGGTGACGGCCGCAGGGGCTGGCTGCCATGTGGATGAGAGCGAGGCCGTTGTCGTTGAAGTAGGGACAACGGGCACACTAGTTGGGCACACTAGAAGGAGTATCCCTGGATGATGGTAGCGCAGCTGCTGGGGGTCCTAGCGTGTTCCAGGGCTTGGCGGCGAGTCACGGTGTTATCAGTTGAGGCCATGATGACCGCGGCCCTGCTCTGGAGTTTCTAAGACAGAACAGTGCGGCTCGGTTGTGGGATGCTTCCTATGACAGTTTATGCAGTGAGAGTATGCTGCACATGATCCTGGCGCGTGCTTGAAGCCGCAGCGCAGGCACCGCTCATCTCACAAGCAGGTGGCGGTTGCGTGCCCAAAGCGGCTGCAACGGGGGAACTGCGTCGGGGCTATCGTCAGGTCCACTCCAAAAACCATGCCAACGCAGGTGTTCAGGTCGTGTTGTTTGGCCCGAACCTTGGTGTCGCAAATCGTCCTGACCTTAAGTAGGGCGGGTGTTGACATTAGGGTGGGTGTTGACCGCAACAAGGTTGCGCCGAAAATTCACCCGCACTCGGTGGGTGGCTGGAAACCCCGAGAGAAAGGCAGCAATCACATCCCTCGACGCAGCCAGGAAGTTGGCTTTCTTCCCGATCAGCCGAAAATTTATGGTGGCCGCATGGTCAGAAGGAGGAAGGTCGCCAATGAAGTGGGGACGATCGAGGCGCGGGGATGTGCTTGAAGGCACGGACGGCACACTGGGGGCGGGCGCCAATCGCTCGGCAACCGCGATGTTGGAGAGGCAAGAGGAAGGGTTGCTGCTGGGAGAATAACTCTTGTAGGAAGCCACGGCTGTGGCACAAGACTAGGAAGCGCCAGTTTTCACTTTCACTTTGCTCGAAACCAGGGAGAGGGTGGCATTGTGATGGCTGCTGTCCTCTTGAGGCGGTGTTTTCTTTTTGGAGGGTGCAGGCTTGGATGATGCCTCTTGCTGCTGGGTTGGCACCGATGTTGATGCCGGGGAAGCTGTGAAAGCGTTCTGCTGTGGCGGTTTTTTCCGGTTGCCTTTAAGAGGGGCCATTTGTAGCCCTTAAATGGCTGCGCATGAAAAGCGCAGAGCGAGAATCGGGGTAAGATCGGGAGCGCAGAAAGACTCTTCCTACTTCGGTGAAATCTCGCGCAAACTTCTATTGATTCTCAATATATTTCTTATCAAATTTATTAACAGTGCTATTATACTGATGAAACAGATGCTTGGGCTAGTTAGTGATTGGGAATCAAGATATTTGCACAGCGCAAGACTACGAGTAGTTACAACGTAACTACAGAAAAAAGAGACAAGGACAAAATCAGCGCTCTTTTTCTCCTTGTCTGTAGTTACGTCGTAACTACTCGTTGTCTTGCGCTGTGCAAATATGTTGGCTATTATACTCGCCTCCATATTTTCGTCCACCAAGACTGTATCCAATGTGTCTCTTTATTTATGTTTTCAATCAAAACTGTAAAGACATGGTTGCCGTTTGCAATACCTATCTCTTACGGCAATAGCATTGCTTTTTCTCTTTTTTCCCCTTTGTTTTACACATTTTTTCGTCTGTGTAATTAAAAAGAAATTGAAAAACGACCAGCCTCTGGTGGCACTCAACTTCCTCAAGTTGTCTTTGGTTCAATGCAGCTGCTTATGGTACTGCCCTTATCAGAGCAGCACTGTAAGGAGGAACTCAAAGGAAATCTCTATGGCCTTATTATTATTATAGCCTCTTGAAGGTTCTGCACCACTTCTCTAACTTGAATGTGGCTACATCAGATTTGCTTGATATCTGTAGCCTGATCTTTGGGAAGCCCTCTACATGAGTGTATAATTTTGCAAGTGTTTTCATGGAGGGAATCTTTTCATGCAGGGCGGTGCCTGTTTTTGGCTGGCCTCATTCCTGAGCCAATGAGTGCTGTAGATGACTTCAAACTCATCCACTATGGAATTGGCTTTACCAACATCGTCGCCCGCACGACGCGAAGCAGTGCCGACTTATCCAGGTTAGTAGAACCCAAAGACTTTAAATCTGGTGAAACACTTCATGAAAATGCCGTCCATAATCATCAGAAGCTAATGCCCACCTAGCGCAAAAGCAAACCATAATAGTGTTTGTTTTTCAGGGCAATAGCATAACTATAGCAGCAAATTATGTGTCAGTCGTTGCATCTGTTGAATTGCATGGGCATGCTTAAAGGCAAAGGCACATGCTTTTCTGTCATGATTGCAGCAATGGAAATCTAGTCAGTTGTTTTTATGACACTGATCTAACAACCTTAGATTGTTGTTGATGTTGTGGTGTCATGCCAGTCTTGGCCAGCTGCCGCACTAAAGAAGAAGACAGCCGCATGGCTCGTGATGCGCGAGCCATGAGGGCAGCACGGCTGAGCCTGGCCTGGCTGGAGGCTGCAGTGGCGACTCCGTCTATGCCTGCATCCCAAATAAAAGCTGTCACCTCATCACGGGCTCATCGCCACCGTCTTGCCTCTCCTTCCTCAACAATTGGTGACCACAGAACAACGGACAAGCAACCGGTGCTGCACCGCAGCCACTGAGCTTCGCGGACATGTTCCAGCCAGCTCAAGCCTTGCAGCTGCACTTTGACTCGCTTTGTGGGCATCCAGGCTAGCCTGCCGCCTTTGCGCGGGCTTTGCCGCCTCTTTCTCCATTCTCATGTCCCAACATGACTCCCCTCCTTCGTGGTCTGCCGTGCTGGGGTGAGTGGTGAGCAGTACGGTGTCCTAGTGCGTACTCAAACTGCGCTGACCCGTATCTCTCCAAAGCCAATGCGAGCACCTTTGCCTTTACTCGAGCAACCGAACCTTGGTCCCAGTGTCTCCGTGAGTCACTTTTACCACGTAGACGTGCTTGTGGCACCCTGTGTAGAAGAGCTTCTGAAGGCCCAGCAAAGTGATCCATTTTGTCGCGAAATGTGCGACGGTCTCAGAGAGATGGAGCGCCATGCCTGCAGCGGGCGTCGATAGCGGCTGTCTCGGCAAGACGGAGCGCCGTGATGCTGCTTGCCCTGCAGCGGGCGCGAATAAGGGGCTCGTACCAGCGTGTCGTTGAGTCCCCGGCAGATTCATATTTGCTGGACCATGACGGACTCCTGCTGAAGTATATAGCCACTGAAGACGAGTCCATCGACCTGTTTAAGGTGGTTATGCCCAAAATGAGAGCCGCACTGTTGCGATCATCTCATGACGAACCCATGTCTGGTCATCTGAGTGGCTCTAAAGCTTTTGCAAAACTTAGCCGCGGTGTGACCTGGCCCGGCATGAAGAGTGACATTTTTTGCTAGCTATTGCCGTTCTTGGCGCATCTGTCAACGGTGAAATCGAGGGGTGGCAAACCGTCCGGTCTGATGAAATCTATTGTCAGTGAGCGTTCGTGGCAAGTGGCCACCTACGATCTAATGGGACCATTTCCCAGAAGTAAGCAGGGGTTCATTCACCTGGAGGTAGTCGTTGATCACTTTTCGAAATGGTTGGAATTGTTCCTTCTTTAGAAGGTGACAACGCAAGCGGTGCTTGAGAAGCTGCAGGAAATGTTTTGCCGGTTCGGCTTCCCGGAAAGGCTCATCACGAACAATGCTTCGTATTTCACTGCTCGGGTGTTTGTTGTTACATGCCGTTCCCTCGGAATCGATCACTGCACCACTTCACCCTACAAACCCCAGTCCATTTGACGGAGCCCGTCAATTGTATGCTCAAACACATGTTGACGGCCTTTGCCGAAAGTCAAAGGGACTGAGCAGACCATTTGAGTGAGCTCGCATTCGCTATATGGACGTCCGAGAGTCGCTCAACTGGTTTCTCGCCCGCCCTCTTAAATTTTGGAAGGGAGTTGGCAAATCCGGTGACGAGCATCACTCAATGTCAGCTCGAGGACGAGGATGCGCCGGCAGACTGCTCTGCTTACGTGTCGACACTTCGGGACAGGCTTTGTCGAGCTTTCTGCAAAGCAAGGCAAAGTTTTGGCGTCGGCCAGGGCTCAGCAGAAAGGCCCAATATGACCGCAAGCGTCGCGACCTAGTTTTTGAGGTGGGCGATCTTGTTCTGAAGCGTAACCACGCTCTTAGCGATGCCAGTAAGGGGTTCTTAACCTTGCTCACTCCTAAGTGGCTTGGTCCGTATCAAGTAGATAAAGCTTGCACTCCACTCGCGTACCTCTTGAAAGATCCCCATTCGGGAAAACTCGGTCGATCCCATATCGCAGACCTGAAACCCTTTGTATCACGGTCTGACGAGCTCACGCCAGCGCCCTGTGGCACTTCGTGCAAGCAACGGGGCACACCCGGGGCGGCAGACCGCATTCGAACCCCGCACCAGTATAATCTGAGAAAGTGGTCACCTTTGTGATTTTGCGCCGGACAGCGGACTTCTCCGCAACCAAAGGCCCTCAGTTTACTGTCTAGCCTCAGTATAGGTTAGCTTCTTTACGGTCTTTTCTCGTAAAGAAGTCGACCCCACCCAGTTTGCTGCCAGTGTTTCTTTTTTAAGTGTTCATGTGTATTTTAAATGCGAAGCATTTCTTAGCGAACTTCGGCGACTTTGAGCGTATCTATCTATCTATCTATCTATCTATCTAGCCGCCTACGACATTTAGCTCTCCTGGCCGTTTCGATTATGGTATCGATACCAAACTTGGTATGGCATAACATGACTGTATGGAGAACATATTTGACTAGTCATAACATCAAAATCATGACACGTATGTCAAGAGTGTCATGATTTACATTTCATGGTCCTGCAGCTCTTGCAGTGGTTCCGTTTTCTTGGCATGTTGTAAAACTGGTATGCCATGACATAATTGCATGGCGAACACAATCGCCAGACCCTAACATGAAAATCATGACATGCTTGTCATGTAACAACATGACTACATGCCACCCTCATGATGCGCTCGCGGCCGTTTCGCTAGCGTCACATATACCGAATTTGGTTTTACGGCACGTTAATGGATGACGAAGGTATGTGACTGGTGCAAACATGATAATCATGAGATGCGTGTCAAGTAACAACATGACTACATGCCACGCTCCTGATGCACTGGCTGCCGTTTCGCTAGCTTCACTTATACCACATTTGGTATGATGGGACGTGAATGTATGGCGAAGGTATGATACTGGTGCAAATATGATAAACACGACATGCGTGTCATGTAACAGCATGACTACATGCTATGCTCATGATGCGCTCGCGGCCGTTTCGCTAGCTTCACATGTACCAAACTCGGTATTACGCGACGCGAACGGACGATATAGGTAAATGACACATCCAAACGTGATAATCACGACATGCATATCATGAAAAGCATGATTACATTCCACACTAATGATGCTGTCGCGGCCATTTCACTAGCTTCACATATGCCAAATTTGGTATAATGTGACGCCAATGGATGACGAAGGTACGTTACTGGTGCAAACTATATAATCATGAGATGCATGTCATGTGAGAACATGACTACATGCCACAGTCAAGGCGCCAATACCTTTCGACATGACGCAGTGCGCATACTCGCCGGCGTTGCCACGCCTGGCGCTGATCCTGCCATATACTCAAAGGCGCGTGCCGCACTGCGTTCTTTGATGCATGCGCGTTCCAGCGCGTCCGGCGTCCCTCCGTCAAGAAAAGAGGGAGACGCAGTGTTGCCTGGGTAACGCATCGGCATAGAGTAATGTTACTCTACGGAATCGGTGGGAAATGCAGCATGTCGCATTTCGAGCTGGTTGCCGTCGGGTCGCGCCGACGTACGCTGGTCACGCTTGGCGTCAGACTGTAGAGTGGCCACGTTTCACTAACGTAACGTCGCTGTGCACAGCGTGCGCGCGCGTCAACGCTACATCGGAGTATATTGGGCCCTTCATGATGCGCTCGTGGCCGTTTTGCTGGCTCCACATATAACAAATTCGGTGTTACGTGACGTCAATGGATGACAAAATATATGACTGGTGCAAACATGATAGTCCTGACAGGCATGTCATGTAAAGACATGACAACGTACCACGCTCATAGTGTGCGTGCAACTGTTTCGCTAGTTCCACCTATACTAAATTTGGTATCACATGACGTGAATAAATGACGAAGGTAAACGACACATCCAAGCATGATGATCATGACACAGAAGCGTTGAACGGCATCATTTACCTCCATCTCGTAACGTTGTGCTGATTTTAAAGTGACAAATAAACATTTATCATTCATGCTTCGCATATCATCGATTCCCTATGTACGTGGGATCTGCCATTTTTAGCTCTGCTGGCCGTTTCGATAGTTGTATCAATACCAAACTTGGTATGGCATAACATGACTGCTTGAAGAACATATTTGACTAGTCATAACATGAAAATCATGACATGTGTGTCATGAATGTCATGATTTACATCTCATAGTCCTGCAGCTTTTGCGGTGGTTTCGTTCACATGGCATGTTGCAAAACTGGTATGGTTTGACATGATTGCATGGCGAACACAAGTGACAGACCACAACATCAAAATCATGACATGCATGTCATGTAACAACATGACTACATGCCACGCTCATGATGCGCTCGCGGACGTTTCGCTAGCGTCACATATACCAAATTTGGTATCACGGTACGTGAATGGATGACGAAGGTACGTGACTGGTACACACATGATAATCATGAGATGCGTGTCATGTAACAACATGACTACATGCCACGTTCATGATGCACTGGTGGCCGTTTTGCTAGCTTCACTTATACTAAATTTGGTGTTACGGGACGTGAATGGATGACAAAAGTATGATACTGGTGCAAATGTAAGAAACTTAGGATGGGCGTCATGTAACAACATGACTACATGCTATGCTCATGATGCACTCGTGACCGTTTCGCTCGCTTCACATGTACCTAACTTGGCACGTGACGCGAACGGACGACATAGGTAAATGACAAATCCAAACATGATAATCACAACATGCATGTCATGTAACAACATGACTAACCCCTGTATTCAAAAACACTGCTTGACTTG